AATTTTACAGTGGCTGAAAATCACAAAGCACAGCCAGGACTGCAGCCACCAGTAGTGGCACACTACCAGGTCTCAACCAAATGCAGGATATGGACGACACCTCACTTTATCTCACTCTTCTTGCATTTGCATTGCTTTCAGATAAAAACAGCCTTAGAAAAAAAGCCAACTATTTCCAGTTTCCAGTAAATGGCGCTGGGTGAGCTGTGTGCATTAATTAGAGACACCAGCTGTTAACTTTCACTGCAGAGTACTGCAAATGAAGACACATCATCTTCCAGAAAAAAGATTTTTTTTCTTTTGAGAATTCTCCAAACTGAGCACGTACTAAAAAGACACTGTGATCAGACAAAACCTATGTATGAACAAACGACGGCTCTTGATAGATTTGTCCTAAAATCCCAAATGGCACCTTCCGAGGGACGGCAGCGGGAGCCTCGCGCGCCCCCTGCTGGCGCCCTGGCAGAGTACAGCCCGGTCCGCCCAGCACCGACACCAACCCCGCCACGGCTCAGCACCGACAGACACCTTCAAAGGCGGCCTGCACAACTACAGCGTGTCGATTTCGCTAATTAGCCGTTCCTGATAAACATTCCTATCCCCCTGAAGTCTCTCATGCCTTTTCGAAGCAAGAGAAAAAGTGTATTTTCACAGAAGCACAGAACAGGTCAGGTTGGAAGGGACCACAGTGGTGCATCTGGTCCATCTGATTGGTCCATCTGGTCCAACCTCCCTGCTCAAGCAGGGTCATCCCAGCACAGGATGGTGTCCAGACAGTTCTGAACATCTCCAGTGAGGGAGACTCCACAACCTCTCTGGGCAATCTCCTCTAGGGAACAGTCACCCACACAGTAAAGAAATTCTTCCTCATGTTCCAGTGCAACTTCCCGAGTATCAGATTTTACCCACTGCCTATTGTTCTACTGCTTGATGTTTTGGACTTACTGACTTATTTTGGTTTTTTTTGCTTGTCTGTTTTGGTGGTATTTGGAGGATTTTTAAAAGTGCCTCTACCAATAAATGAAAAAAAAAAAAAAANCTATAAGTAAATGAGAAAAAACCCTTTGGGAAATGGCTGGACTTCCTGTAAATATTTTGTGTATCTATCTAACTGCCCATGAGAAATGCAACATTGAAGACTATTCTACTACAATAGAATTGTAGTAGGCAATATTTATTTATTCATTTTTTTATAAATCTAAACAAAATTTTAAATGTCAATCAAGCCTAAAAGCAGAACTTCAGTCAACATTTAACCCTCTGAAAGGATATAAGCGATTTTATGGTTCAGAAATAACTCCCAATTCAGTAACATAAATATAACTGGACATACAGGGATTCACACAGACTGGAAAAAGTGTTCTCGGTTATTTAGTGTTAAAATTGCTTTTAAAATAGACTTTGAAATGCGGAAGAAAGTAAATTCTTATTGTACTACCACAGTCTTAAAGATCTACTCTCAAGAATTTAAATGCCAGGATTCTTTCAAAAAAATTTAAAACAAAAAAACCTAATGTACTAAGTAAAAAAAAAATTAATGTACTAAGTACATTAAAAAACCTAATCTACTAAGTAAAAAAAAAAATTAAAATTTACCTTATCATACAGCATCCACCCAACATATTTTAAGTAGCTATCATTCAAAAAAGCATCTGGGGACATTTTAATCCAGCTGCCAATTTCTTCAATGCAAGTTGCTCTGATCTCAGGGATAACATCACTGTGAAATTATAAAATCATGATATTAATACATTAAAAATTAATTTTAAAACAGATTTTATTATTTGCAATATTTTTATGTTCTGGAATTTCAAAAGCACATATAATTCAAATTATTCCAAGTATTTCTGTATTAATATTATAAGTTACTCTTCAGTCAATACTAAGGCTACTTTTAGCCACAAACTATTTTGCAATTCTGGATATCTTCTCACTCATGAATGCACTGCTCTACAGCCAGCAGGAAGAATTGAAAGGACACACCAGAGAGGTCCTTTTGGAAGCCCAGATTCTTAAAAATAATTTAACTGCTACACTTTCCTTGACACCATCAGTGCCTCCAGGATGTTTAACTTGATTCTCGTATCTGTACAATCCGAGCGAGAGTTCTGGGGAATGCAGTACACGTCACAGCTTTGTTTTCACTCTTACCGGTAACGGTTTAGAAATGTCCCTTTGAAAATAGCATTCATCATGTTCTGTATCTCTAGAAGTTTATGCTCATACTGAAATACAAAAAGAACTGAATGTTAATATTGGTCCCACAATTCACTACACATGAAGAATTTTCATTAGGGCCCTTGGAATGCTACTGTGATGCAAACTGCTGGTGTTTACGCATGGTACCAACATAAAATGAGGGGCCTGTATCTGCACTAGCAACTGGCCTTTCTGTGGCTACATCCTGAGGAAAGATTTATTGGATACCAACTGCTAGCCTTGGGAAACAAGCTACTAGTTTGATACAGTGAGTCTTGATCTATCAGAAATTACACAAAGATACAGCACAAGTATTATGTGATCTTCACATACATATCCAAATTCTCTTTTCATGTACTTAAACAGAGATGGAAAAAAGGCAAAGGAATTTTCAAAATACACAATGAGTGCATTAAAAAACTGAATCCTGAAAATGTAGGTAGGAATTTCTGAAAATCCAAGTCACCTAATAAAAATATTCTCTCATCAACAGCATCAGGAAGGGTGACAAGTTTGGGTTTTCCGTCCAACACACTCATTTCCTCTGTCTTTCCCATAAGATCAGACTTACAATGATACTAAAATATCCTGTCTCACCCAAACACTCCTCCCCACAAAAAGGGTACTGTCTCTGTAACAGAGAATCCCACAGACATCTAAAACTCAGAACAGAGATATGCAATTCTAAGGTCAGGATACAAGGAACTACACCTGATGTTCATTCATCAAGTCACCTTCTCCCTCAAGCCAGAGTTAATATTTACAGTTATAACTCTGCCTCTGGGAGTTAACAAGGAGCTGACTTTGAGCAGGGAAGAAACAACAGAAACTGAAAAGTAAAAATGATACAGGACATCCCTGATGTTCAATCAATTTTTATAAAGCACTTCAAGATGACACTCAGCCTGTGTCCCTTTTGATTCATCACTAAAATTTGGGCTTGTAATTTGTGCAAATATATACAAAATTGCACTTCCACAACACCAGAGCTACTGAGACAATTAAATTTGTGTGTAAATCCATATTTGTGTGACAATCAAGGGCTAATGACACCAATTTAGAAAAGCAACCAGTAGGACAGACATCACAAGAGCTAATGACACCAATTTAGAAAAGCAACCAGTAGGACAGACATCAGAGGTTAACAGTACATAGGGCAGTTTTTACCTGAGTCATGTTTGTACCACTTAATCCAGCCAGTCACACCTGCTCTGCACCATGCATTAGATAAACATATAAACCTCAAAGAATTGCACAGACCCAAAAGCAAGCAGCCAGCAATCCTTTTACACTTTCACAAATCTCCCATATAAGACATTTCCCTAACCTCTTTCCTTTTTCTCTCTAGCTGATCAAGTCTGTAACTGGTCCTCTTGCCACCTAGCCTCTTCTTCTCCACCTCATACAGTCTTTGAGCATTGTGTTTGCTGATATCAAGGTTCAGATGGATGCTTACAATTGCTGTCAGAAGTTTCATTGCTAAAAAAAAAACAAACCCAGCACAGTTAGCTTAGCTCAGAGATATGCAGCATAAATATATTCACCACTTTACCACAAAAAGAGTATGTTTAGCCAAATCTAGTTCATATTGGAAATATGAACACTACTAGATTATAGTGATTTGTTTTAAAATACAGTGCTTATTTTAAAGGCAATGATCAAAAAGGGAAAATTAACTTCTATTTCTGGTGATTTAAAACTTTTGGTCAGAGTTCTGTTCAAAGAAGTCATTTACTGGGCAACTCTCTTGTATGTTTATGTAATTCTGACTTTTCTGCAAAAGAATCTAGAATTGTGGAACAGCCAATTGTTGGCAACCAAAAAAAAAAAAAATTTAAAAACAGTGAAGCTGGCTCAGAAATGGATGGGAATCTTAATATACTACTGGAATGGACAACAATTCATATTCCTCTAAGGATTGATGGATGGTTTAAACAGATTTCAAGTCAGCTTTTTGAGCCCTCAAAGCAAACATACTTTAGATTAATTACACTTTAAGTGCTCTTTGCATGGCAAAGAGGGTATTTACTGGCTTTAGGGGAAAAAGGTAGCAGCTTTAGTATCATCACACTGCATGAAACAAGAATGTGCAACAAGCAATGTTCTTTTTAGCACAGAGATCACAAGAATAGTAGTTCTCCAAGGGAAGCTTCTTAAGGTGAAGCATCTACTGCAACCTCATCACATTAGTTAGTGGAGGGAGAAAAACAACAAAATAGAAAACTGTGAAAAATCAGTTACTGAAAAATATAATACTCAGAACAGCAAAATTCTGAAGTCGGTCATGTCAAGCATTAAAGATTGCTTTATAAAGAAAAAATTGTGTTAGAGCTATTATATCTAAAGCATTTAAATTCAAATCCAATTTTGATACACATGGGAACAGTTTATATTACAAACATTCGTACAACATATACTAGGAGGAAAATACTCTCAGTGCATAAGAGAATTGCTCCAGTAAATAGTTTTTCAGGTTAGAGCAGTTTTGTTAGTATACAAGTCAATAAAACTCAACACCTCTATAGCAACTCTGCAAGTGATTTTACCTGCCAAAGTGCTTGTGTGCCTGAATGCTCTGACCATGGAATCTGCTAACCCTGTAAGCAGTGAGATGATGGTGTCCATCAAGTAGTTATCATACAGGATGCTGCACTGGCACTGCTGGACAAGCACTGCAATGAATTCACAGAAATTGGCCTTGAACTTCTTCCAATAGGGTCCTGTTCTGATCAGTGGGTAGTCTTCATTGTCCTGCACAAGAAAGACAAGATGAGAGAAAACACACTACTTAGTTCAGCTTGTGCATTCCCATCTCTCCCACTGAACATCAGAGAGAGTTTTGCTGACAGTTTCACTTCATTCCCCGTAACTTTTTGCATGATTAGTATCCCAAAGTATTGACAAACAACTGGGATAAAAGCGAGCAGAGAGACAAAATAGCTTTATTCAAGCTACACAAAATAACAGCTCACATTTGAAAGCAATGTATGCAAGGCAGCTGTAAACAGACAGGAGGGAGAAAGTGTGTGAAGGCAGAGCAGAGTAAGTAACTTTCACTGGCATAAACTATGAGCACTCTTGGCTTATTCTACTTTCGCACAGGTAGCAGTGCTTCCCCACTTTCCTATCCTTCCTCTTCCTGCAAAAGTATGATAAAATCCAGGCAGAAAATTAAGTAAGTGAAAAGTGGAGACAAACAACTGTGGTGTGAACTGCCAGCCTGAGCAGTTTATCAGGCTAAAGCTTAATGCCAAATACTTGGTCATTCACCTATACGACCTGCACCTGGGTCTCCAAAAACCCCCACAGAAACAGTAAGTGGGCAATACCTTTGACATCATGCAAAAGGCAAGTTACAATAAAAACATAAGTGTCCACAGTATGGCTGATACTGCCAGGAGGAAAGCAGACAGAGGGAAGGTGAAATGACTTCTCACACAAAGGAGTGGAAAACACACTAGACAGACTTTGTAAATGGCAGCCTCAGTGTGAACATTTATTTCATGTATACCTCATAGATCCCAGGAATGGCTTAGAATATATTTGCATCTTCACAGTTTCCATGTGTGAGTGAAGTCAAGGAACTCCAAAACTCCACTCACTGTGGAAAACCTCTTCCGGAAGGCTGGCCACTACTCAGCTGGTCCTTCACCAGGGGGCAAACACCTTCTCAGCCACATTCTAACACGGCATCACACTCAGCATAACCTCCTGTGCTTATAAAGTATACTTCATGCCCTTTTCTTTGTAACTATGTTTCCAATGCAGAGGGGCTGCTCCTTCTTCCATGAGAAATACAAATACAGGATAATCACAGGGCTGGCTGCAACCCAAAGCACATCAGGAATTTGGAATATGCTCCTGACCATGCTGTAAGAGTCCGTTCAGAGCCTAACAGTAGCAGCAAGTGCCAAAACAGAAAGGGAAGCTTCCAGAAAGCCTCATTTAATGCTCTTTGATCATGACATGGACAGTAGAAAGGCCATCTACAGCTTCAGAAAATACCCACTTTATCACCATAGCTTACACCTCAATCTGAAAAGGAGCACAAAATACACAAAGATTTCTCACTTTTTAAGAGCATTTCTACTGCCCATGTTTATCACACTGGGATACTTTTTAATGATAACATGCACACTGTAATCATATACACAACATGAAGCACACATCACCTAAATTCAGGCACTTAACTTGAGATTCCCTTAGATTCCTTTCATAACTAGAGAAATAACTCTGCTTCCAGAAATCAAGTCAGATTAAGCCCTTAACACAGGTTCTTCCAGAGAACTATTCAAATCAATCAACAGAGTGATGTGAGCTCCTGCTGTGACTCAACCAGGAAATGTTTCCTTCTTTCATACAGGGTCTACAGAAAGGGAGGAAAGTCAAAATGAAGTGCCAACAAGGAGTTTAGATAAATTTCCCACAGAAAAAGCTATACTACAGTTGTGGATAACTACGACAGCCCTACCATGTCCACCGGCCAAGTAACTGTTAGGATCCAAGGATAGGCCATGAATTTCTTATACTGCAACCCAGTTTCCTGTAATGCAGGAGACAAAATTTTGAAAGCTTGTTAATGAAATGGCACAGATAATTCAGAGCTAAAAGCATTACAAAACATGCAACATATTTCAAAGGCCATTAGAACTGCAACCAATGTGTATTAGAGCTGACCCACACAAGCCAAAATAATACAGAAAAGCTAAATCCTTATCTGGGTTTTGTTGTTTGGGTTTTTTTTAATAACCAACGACAGAGGAAAGACACTTTTCTGCATTTTCTTGTTACTAATATGAGACGACTTGTTTCCAAATTTATAAGCAAACATATACAAAGTATAACCCTCATTATTAATCCTAAAATTAGGCTCCTCAGCAAGTCCAAGTATATAAAACCATTTTCAACATTTGGTATCTAGATGTGAAACATCTAAACCCTTAAAAAATAAACCATTCTGAGCTTTTCAAATTAGAGAGAAATGTTTTCATCACCAGTATGACTTGATTAAAAGATGTTTTCTCAACTCTGCAATTATTCCAAAACAAAAGGCATTAAATATAGAGCTCTTTATCAGGTTCAGTGAAGCACAAGTATTTCAATCCCCATCTAGCTGTACAGCTAAGCATCAAAGTTAGCTCTTCCCTTCCTAAATGTCTGAGCAACAAATGAGAAAGGAAAGAAAAACTACATAAGAGCAAAGAACTGCGAGAAGTAAATGTCACAAACAGGAACAAAAGCAGAAGAAACAGATTATCTTAAAATAAAAGAAAAACAAAAAACAGTGTAAAGACTGTCTCATAACTGAGGAATACCATGGCTCACAAAGATGAGATAAATGCCTCAATGACCATATTAAAGCTATTCTCTGTTTCCAGCATCACAGAATTACAGAAAGACTGAAATTGAGAGGGATTCTTTGCGATCATCTAATCCAACCCCACCTGCTCAAGCCAGGTCAGCCAGCGTAGGCTTCCCAGTGCAGTGTGCAACCTGCACCTCTGCTCTCAACTCCTGGAAATGTGGCTACCATAACTAATGCATATATGCATATATGCATAACTAATTTTAAGAGGCAAGCAGCCCTTCTCTGTGACCAAGCAGGTCACACATTCATTCCTCTCCCTCGTTACCAGGCCCTGAAGGTCCTGTGAACCAAGCAGACAAATCAAACAGATTAACTTCCCTCCCTCATAGCCTCATGGTTCCTGGGTGCCAGACTAATTACTCCCTTCCTTACCAACCCTGTAGGTCCCAGGCATTCAGCCAGGCCGGGGGTGGCAATGACCCAGTCAGAGAACAGGGAAACATCATAGCACCCAGAGCACTGCCAACAAAATCAAGGTACTGCAAGGTCTAAGTGGTGAACTCTGACCAGAACTCCTGCTGTAGAGTGAGACCTGAGCTATATCACAAATTCTATATTATGTTATTATAGTGATTCTGCTTATAGAAATCCTGTGCCAATTTAATCATAAATTCTGCTCTATACTAATAATAACATACTGTTAAGAAATAAAGCTTTAATTTTAACTACAATTGATGCCATCATCATTCTGTCAAGGATCCCTCAAAGTATACGTCTTTTCCTTCACTGTCAGGTGATGCCATGAGCAGTCAAATACCATCTTCAGAGACTCCACAACCTCTCTTGGCAAACTGCTCCACTGTTTGACCATTCTCCCAATAGAAGTTTTCTTGTGTTCAGGTAAGATTTTGTCTATTTTAGTTTGCACCCACTGCCCATCTTGGTTTGCCTTTGCTCTCACCATCTCACTGCATACCATTGAGTGGAGCTGTGCTTCCTTCTGTCACATCAAGTATTTTAACACAAGTGAGATTCCTTTGAGCCAGCTTCCTTCCTGACTAAACAAGTTCAATTCCCTCAGCCTCTCCTCGTATCAAAGATCATAAATCATCTTTGTGGCCCTTCACTGACCTCACTCCATCTCTCTTGTTCTGTAAGGTCCAGAACATGACTCAGCACTCCAGATGAGTCTCAGTAGTATGAGCAGAGAGGAAATATCACCCCCTATGATCTGCTGGCAATGCTCTACCTAATGCAGGCCAGGAGGCTGTTGGTCAATTTTGCAGCAAGGGTGCATTGCTGGCTCATGTTCATTTTTGTCACCCACACCAAGATCCTACTCTGAAGAGCTGCTTTCCAGTCAATCAGCCCCCAGTGTGTAGTGGTGCACAGGGTTATTCATTCCCAGGTTCCTAGGGCTTCCTATTGTAGAACTTTATGAGGTTCCCCTCTGCCAAACTCTCCAGTCTGTTGAGGTCCCTCTGAAAAGCAGAACAACCACCTAATTTGACAGCTAATCCTCCTCATTTTGCAACATCTGAAGATTTGCTAAGAGTAAACTCTGCCTCAGTGTCCAGGTCATTATTAAATATGTAAAACAGCTTTGGCCCCAGTATCAAACTGTGGCACAATACTAGTGACTAGCATCCAACTGGACTTTTTGCCACCCACAGGCCTGGTTGTTCCACCAGTTTTCAGTCCACCTCACTGTCCACTAACTCATACTTCACCACCATGTCCATGAGGATGTTAGGAACTCTTTTCTTGCCATACTGAACTCCATTAACATTTCCCACTAATATTAGTAAGAATTCTAGGAGGAAGCATTGCTACAAGGATATAATGCTGCAATAACTGAAAAGCAATGCCATGGTTGAATCACTGAAATTATCATGAATTAATTCCTTGAACGCTAGAAACAAACAGTAAAAATTCAAAGGCAAGATGATATTCAGCAAATATTGGGCGATATTTTCCACTCTCATTACTACTTTCACTATTACTGTCACTAGTTTTCAAAAAATGCTTTTGAAATCACAGTAGTCCCATATGGCACTCCTTCTCACCTAACTAAAGCCAGTAACTTATAATTCCATCTTATTTATGAAAAAGATAAGAGAGAACTTACTTTCTTCATAGAGCATGGAGAATACAGCTTCTAAGGCAACTGCAGAACCTGCCTTTTTGCCCAGGACAGGTGAAATGGTTACAGAGCTGTAATATTTCTAGGCTGATGGTAGAAATAATCACATCTTTGTATCTGCCAGAATGCCTGCACTATCATGAGTGTATTCAGGGCTAATTTAGTTCGCAAAGAACTGCCAGACTACTAATTCATATGGCCAGACACATATAGGTTCATTTCTGTCAAAAAATTAGCCCAAGTGCTACTACACTTCTAAAATGAAGAAAACCATGTTGACAAATTCACCCTTTGTGTGAATTTTGACAGCAGCTGGTCTTTGAGAGATGCTCAATTAAAATAAGGCTGATGGCTGCTGTTTGATAAATCAATTCAGAAGTGACAAATATAGGGAAAAAAGCATGAAAGCAACTGTGAGAGCACTGCAGAAAATTTAATGTTGTGATAATTAGTCAAGGAGCAGTCAAGCAGTGAAACAGCATTGTACAGCTATGTGCTATTCTTAACAATTCACAAAAATAAAATGCTCACTACTGTTTTCACAATTATCTGACAATCTGAAATGCATTTTCCTTCCTCCATATGACATAATAGTGTTATCAAAAATCATAAGTGTCAGTAAAGCAGAAATAATATATTCAAATAAAATATCAGCTGAAAATATCTTTGAATTAATTAATCAGTAATCCATATTAGTATTTTTAAAGGATCTATCAACCATTTGATAGATCCTTTCTATCTACGGTTCCAAAAGGAATCACTTACCTGTTGCAGTGCTGAGTTATATCTACCTGTATAAAGTCATTATCAAAAGAACTCCTAAGAGAAAGATTCAGGAAGGCTGCAGCCAGACAGCCCTAATAAAACTCTCAAAGTAAAAATAGCTTAAAAAAAAACATATCTTGCTGCTGCTAAAATGGGTCATTACAACAACAAATTGCTCTTGCAAAAAAACCAAGTTTATTTTACTAAATAAATTAAGTGGTACAGAGCTCCTGATAAGTAACAGGAATTCCATCCTGTTGGTTGGCTATTAAGGTAGATCCTATTGTTTATAAAAAAGACATGCAAAATCAAGGTTGTACCTACCTTATCAAAGGTCTCTGTCATTTTTTGCATTACATCCTTCTTGTACAAACTTTGAAACATCTCTGCTGTTACCATGCCTAAAAAAAAGTAGTGTTTTAAGAAGAATTACTGACAACTCTACAACATTAATCAAGTCCAAACCACATTAAGGACTTCATTAAATTTAGACATGCCAAAGACAGGGGAATTCTGTTTTATGTCTGTACACTGGTACAGGAAATATATATATAAAGAGACATGTAAATTAATTGATAGGAAAAAGTACTGATGAACCAAAACTGAAATTCCCATTAGGTAAGTCTGCTCTGTGCTGTCTGGAAAGGCTATTTTCTCTGTTCATTCATTTACTTCAAGGATTGACTAAAATTTTGCCCATAGGTCAAAACTAGTCAAAAACCCCAAAGTATTTCTCCTAAGAGAAGTTATATTAGTCAAAGACCTAGGGGGAAAAAAAAAGACACATAAAAAGTACATTTCTAGCTGCTTAAATACATTCAGAAGTTTCAAACTAACAGGGCAGTCTTCTTAAAACTCTTACTTGCCATCCTGAAGCATTTCACTAGCAGACTCTCCCCAGAAGGCAGTGCTTCAATGTTTGTTATGAAACAGATAGCTTCACACCTCTAGCAAAAGCAGCTGCAATGAGGCAAGACATTGCTTTTCTAGCCATCAAAGCAGGGAGCTGAATTTGCTAGCTGCTTATTTTCAAGCAAGGATGCTAGCAAAACAAAAGATACCAGGAAATATAAAACAAATAGCAACTGAAACACTGGATTTTAATTAGAACACTCATAAAAAGCACTGTCCCTATGTGAGGATTCTCCAAAGCAATGTGACATGCCACTTCAGAAACCTGACCTTGGCAAACCTTGTTCAAATACAACTCTCAGAGCTGGAATGCTGCTAGCACAAAGAATTTAACCAGCAGCATTCCTTTCTATTTCGTCTGCCCATCTGGAGTTCATCTTAACGAACTGTACAGATCATAAGTTCATGATTTACTGGAGAGAAAAACTCAATTTCAAAAAGCACACTTCAGACTCCTTTCACACACAGACAGTGGAAGGGGCTGCAAAGAAGGTAAATTACCTTGACAGCCTGAGCACTGAATGAAGAAGTTGATGAGATCCAGAAGTGCCACATTCCTGTCTTGTTTATAAGCTTCAACCCAGTCAACTACCACAGACTAGAATAGATTAAAGAATCTCATTAGTCAGGAGACGAACACATCTGCACTCCACTGAAGATACCCACAATAAAGACAAAAACTAACACTGCTCCATCTCCATTAAATTACAAAACCAAGAATAAACTCCAAGCAATTCTCTTCCATTTCTAGTAGTTCTAAAAGACTCTTTCAAGTCTTAAACTGCTTTAGACAATGCTGCCTTTCACAGATGCTTTTTTTCCTGCTAACATGGAAAATTACCACAGTTTTAATAAACGCAATATAAAAAAAATTAGAAAGTTGTCCTCCTGAGTTCTTGATTGCACTGAGGTAATAATTTAATTTAAAAACAAATAAATAAACACAAACAACAACAGAAAAAAAACCACATGCACCATTTAATAATTAGCATCAAATTCTACTAGCAATTTACCCTAGAAATTCTCTTTTTCTCTAGCACCTGATTTGTGCAATAGGTTTGAAACAGTTCATATACTAACATAAGCCAAAAAACAACTCCAAATTTCATTTCATTTCTAGAGCAGTACAGCCTACAGCCTCTAAGTGACATGGGTCTCCTGGGACAGGCCATCCAGGCTTCAACCCTCTAGTAGTTCCACACAGCAGTGGAGTAATAAATTATAGCTGCAGCAAAACTCAAGCTTTTGTTTCTTTTTGTCAAGAAACAAAAGCTGCCTTTCCAAGACCTTCCCATGATCATTGGCACAGCAGAAGCCAAGCTCTTCAGGGAGCTCTACTGAAGTTACCCCAGCTGTATCACAAAGGTTTCACATCCAAAATACACACTTTTCATGCATGTGTGCACACACACCCTGCTTAGAAACACTACACACCAAAGACATATCTATAACTCTACATAAAACTATTTGGGGCTCCAGATTTTCATACATATATACAAAGATAATATACACATGTGCTCACAGAATAAGGGGAGGTGGGCTTCCTCACACTGAAGAAAATTGCTAACTATATAGATGAAAAGGGAACCTGGCTATTATACAAGCTGCTGGCAAACTGCATTGGAATGAAGGTAAAAGATTAATGGTACATGGCAAGCATGGGGAGGGCAAAAAAAACAAAAAAAAAAACCTGATTTTTCAGAATTCTGAACAACTAAAAATTGCTATTGATTAATCTTTTCCACATTTTTAAAAATAATTATCTTTTTTTATATTAAGGCATTGTAGACTGTTTTAGGTACAATTTCCTTCCTCTTTTTAAATATCTGACAGCTACATCTTCACTAATTTCTTGAAACTTTCCAAGAGCCACACTCACAGCAGTCTTCCAATCAAACATGTTTCTTCCCCAGCTAACCCAAAATTTAAATGTTCCACAGTACAATTAATGGAAATAACCACTGTTTATTCACTTTCCCTCCACCAAGTGCTTTCAGAACTCAGTGCTGGGAATACCTGCATGGCCTGCTTCCCCATGCTAACCACTTCAAACAAGGTAACTGCCTCAACCACTTCTCCATTCTGTAGCTGGCTCGCTCTTCTGCTAGGAGTAGAATTCCCCCTTATGTTTTCACACTGCTTTCTGACCTTCCGCTTCTCTCTCTGAAACGAGTCAAGTAAACAAAGCATGTGAGAAAACACAGCATACAACAGACATTCACAGATACAAGTTTATTTTGCTGTTATTGCAATCACTTCCCCAGGCTGCTCAGTCTTATGCCCCAAGGATCCCAACAACGCCTTACCAAATACAACCATACTAAAAGGAGATGAAAGAAAAGAGTAAAATTCAAACTGGTAAATCCTAACAATGAGTCATAAGCTTAGGAAAATGTAACAGGAAAGAAGTTTTTGTATGGTTGCACACTACCCAGAAGGCAGTTTCCAGTGGCAGCTGTCATTTCTGAAGAATAGGAAGCAAGCACAGAAGCTTTTCTACATCTTTTCACTCACAGGTTAAGCTCACTACCTGAAAATTAACATCAGCTGCACACAAAGCACAGCAAGAAAGAGTAATGCTGAAATGACCATTCAAAAGCCAGGACTGAGGCTGCCAATGGAATTTGAGGGTCAAGCTGTATTCAGTGTCCAACTTTGAGATGCAGCATGATTGCTACATGCAATACTCAATTTTGCAACAACTGAATAAGACACAAAATAAACTCCACAATTTAAAAGAATTAAAACTTTTAAAAGCTTTACAGTTGACTTACTGGTGTTTTCAGGTTGCCATTTCTCACATATGTACCATTCTGCGCAGCAGACTCGAGCACTGGCTCATCATGGACAGCATTCTCTCTAAGGTGTAACAAACATGTTGAAGGGGTTAGCAGTGAACACTCAGATCTACACACTTCATGCCAAACTAGAAAAATATCATGTATTTTAGTATTTTTAATTTGTTGTTTGGAAGTGGTGACATTTTGTCACTAAAAGCCAAACAGCTAACTTTAAAAGTACAACAGAAATTTGGGGCCTTTTTTAATCTACTGGCTTTCCTGTAAGATATGCAGATAATTTAAAAAACAGCAAAGCTATCAAATGTATCAAGGAAGTATAAAGTAAGTAAATGAAAAAGAAAGCTGACGTTGACTTAATGCAGCCTTTGTTGACTTAAGAGCTTTGCACAGTGAACCAGTAACACAAGTAGGCATTCACTCTGTGGGTGCCCTCAGCTAAACAAGGCAGTAACATTTCACAGATCTACATTTTAAAATGGGAGGAAGAAATTGGTTTACTTTGTTTATAAAACATGCTGAAGAAAAAAGACACATTAAAACTTCATTCTCAGGTCATTGCTAACATCATGGAGGAACAATTTTATAAAGAAAGATGCACCTTCTGGGAGATCTGGAGCCATACATTTATCTGCAATGAAACCGTGCCATCTTTCATCATTCCCAATGCTAGCAATGTGCTTTGCCAAAGGCCATGTTTGAGTAGACGAGCTGGATCCCACTTGTGCAGCAGGTCCAGTACTGGAAGCTGGCTGCAATGGCCTCCTTTAAACTACAGTGGCCAGGACATGAAGCCAGATGACTTGTACTACAGGAAGGCACAGAAAGAAAGTAAATATGACAGTGTACAATTACTTCTATTTTCATGATACTACTGCAACAAGAGAGTGTACTAACACAAGTGACCACTTTACAAATATAAAACCAGCGTGTTACACTATCAGATACAGTCAACTCTCCAGTATCCAGTGTTGGCTAACATAGATGGAGAATTAACTGTTCTATGGATGCAGAGCCAGCTCAACTCCACCTAGATTTATCAATGTCAGATAAGCATTTTTATCATTCTTCTTCCCACAATTGTTTTGCAAAGCAAATTCTAAGACTGAATAGCATCAACTGCAGAACCAAGGTCGTGATATTATTTTGTTGGTAAGAGCAGATAGGTTTTATTTAAACATGTCTCTGTTTACATTTTTTATCTACTGAGACACATCAAGAAGTGATGTAGAATGAGGCTTCCAAAGACTCCTATAAAAATTCTATATAATATTGCACAAAACCACAAAATTTCTAAATACAATTATGCATATGCTTACCTTCCTTACAGAGAAATGTCCCATGAAAGTTAAACTCCATTAATTACTAGTTATAGAAAAGTTCAAAACATGCCACAGTGTTTGATAGACAAAAGGAGAGAAAATAATTCAGAATGAACCAATCCTTATACCAGCCATCTGGACTTCTGCATGTGAAGAGTGGGATAAACTATACTCCCAGCTGAGTCAGCATTCTATAAGCAATTACTCACAAAAGTTTACAATTGTCTTCTTTGATTTAAAATTGTGAGCCACAGAGATTAAGTATCCCAAGTACTACCAGAGACTTCCCAGCTCAAACAGCAAGGACAAACAGCAAGGGACAGCAATATGCATTACTTTTCTCAGGCCAGATTGTGCTTCTCAGATCCTTCTACGGACCACAAAACCAAAAAGAATGCAATCATGTTTGGCAAGGAGCTGTTTCTCCTATGTGATTAAAGCCTTTCACTCTCGATTTCAAAGCAGAATGCATCACTGTGGGGCTGGACTAACAGGTTTTTACTTGCACTGTTTCGCAGGAACTACAACTCAGGTGCCAGCCAGCACCATAGTAACACAGGTTACCAGTTTCTGCACTGTACCTCAACATAACACTCAACCACACCTTCAAAACCTTTTCTGAATTGTTTACAAGTACTAGTTTAGCAACTTATTCCATCCCATAATGAAGGTAAATGTACTTAATTTGATTATAGCAACTATATTTGAGTCCAAGTTGGTTTAAAACACTTAAATAATTCAAGAATTAGAACTGCCACAGGACAGTTCCATCAAGGACTTGTCTGATCATGTACTGCTTTTAGTATCTCTGTCTAGAACATACTTCTTTGAAGGTTTAATTCACACCTCTCTTTCCCAAAAATATCCTGAAGGACAGCACTCTGGACAGTATCTACTGGCCTTGTGCTACTTGTTTAGTCTCTTATGCCAGAAAAAATGTACTTGTAGCAAAAGGGGCCCAATAAAGTAAGGAAATGCCTGGCATACGGAACAGTATTTTAGCAAAGCTTAGCCAAAGCTCCAAGAGTGGGAAGACCACAGATCTACAGATCTATCATGCTGAGCCAAATAAAGCATATCTGGGGTGAAACCTGTTAGAGTACCTGTTACACATGCAGCTAAACATCTATCTTAAGCATTTACCAAATTTAACTAAGCACTAAATACTAATAAGCCATTTAGTTTCTTAACTGTTTTGGTTATCAGTGCACCACAGCATATACAAACAATTTGCAGAAACTTGACCAGCACGTAGAAACTGAACCCCATGAAACCACTATTAAATGGGATATTTAAATGGAACAATTAAATGGAATATTTAAATGGAACTTCCATTTGCACAACTACATTTCTGTTGAAGAAACTATTAAAATAATTCAGATATCCTCAAATCTTAAGCAAAACATAGCTATTACTGTACCTAGCTGGGGAAGACACAGGGGTCACTTCTGCAGCAATCCCTATACATACCTCCATTTAACATCTTCTCAAGCATAGGTGTGCAATGGTATGGTGACAAATTTTGAACTAGCTGGGTGTTTTTTTTCCTCCCTTTGTTATTCTACAGCATGTTGAGCACTTCTGCATGCATACATTCACTGCTCCATGCACTGGAAGAAACAGCTCTCAGCCATTTAGTTGCTTCCATCAGAAACCAGTAAGAAAGCATAAGCAGAATGCCATTTCCATTTCTACCTTTATGCCCTCTTACGAATGGCTTAGAGACTCATTTTTACTTTATGTTCCTGCCACAGTATTATCCTTTGAAGTATTACAGATAAAACACCTGAAGTACAAAGGAAGCCAAGTCTCACACCTAATACTCAGACACAATACTACTGTGATAACGTCTGAATTCAGTGTTCTTATCCTAATAAACATTTAGAATAATTTGGTGACTCACACTTGAAAAGAAAAGTACCAAGGAGGCAATATATTCCTTTTGCTATGTACAAGAAACTATGTACAATTAATCTATGCTACTGAAAGAATACTATCTGTAAATTTTTTAAATTATAAATTTCAAAACAACTGGTTCATCTTTTAGAAGCAATACAAGAAGCTCCACTAAGCAACTGCCATGTGCCTGCCTAACACTTCTGAAGGGAAAAGCTGGTTTCAGATGAAACACACTGGAATATATGGGAAGCTATACATGTCATCATGGGCTACAACTCTCAGCTTTCATTAGAGCATAATGAAGCAAAACACGTGGAACAAACAGGCCCAGAACGTGACAGGATCAGAAGAGTCTAGGCTGCAATGAGTTCAAAGCACAACAGTGGACACCTAAGAAGTTTCACTCTTTGAAACCAAACAAGAAATGCACAAATGTTTTAACTTTACCTTTTATATATTTATATTTATTCTAGTGTAACTTCTAGTTGCCATTGTGTAAACAATTATATAAATACTTTATCTCATCTCAACAGATGACTAACAAATACATTATAAAAGGAAGAAGAGATGATGGATCCCTGATAAAAACAATACAAAATGTACAGAAGCAATGCCCCCAATAACGCCTACAGGGAGCTTGCAGATTACTTAGCACTCTTCCCCCTCAGCATCCCCAGATTTTCCAATGAAGGAAACACATGCACTGACAATGAATGTGCCCCTTTTTTTTTTTTTTGTAAGGTGCACTGTGGCGAATAAGGCACAGAATAGCTTGCAAAGCCAAGGTCCCTGTCCAACAGCATAAAACGCTACACTAAGAAGACGTTAAATAGTACAGGAAAGGAAATAAAATTAAGCTATTAGTAACAAAGCACAATGCACAGCAAACCCCTTTTTCCCCTTTCTCCCTGAGATGCACACTACGGAATGCCGCGGTATCTGCACGGCACAAACCCCAGGGACAGCACCCGAATTCGCCAATAGATTTTACAGGCAACCTGCGCCGGGTCTTACTTTTGGCTGGGAAGGTTACTGGCTGCGGTGGGCTCGGCTATCATTTCCGCTACATATTTCAGCAGCTCAAACAAGCTGTCACGACCTTCTGAGGAAACTTCCCCGAAATCGAGTGTGTTAAAAACTTAACAACCCTTCAGCTTTTGCGGGCGGAGCAGAGGCCGAAAACTGTCAAGAAAGGCACACAAAGAGACTTAATTCCAGGCAAACCAGGGCAGAAACAGTCCCCCCTTCCATCCCCCCCTCCCCCCGGTTGCAGAAGAGGATGAAACAATAAGAAATTAAACCTACCGACAACCCCGCAGCGGCTCCCGGGCGCTGCCCGGCGCGGCCCGGCGTCAATCTCGGCGGCGCTGGGCCCGGCGGGGCGGGGAGCGCTGTCACATGGGCGGCGGCGCTTCCGCAGCGCCCGGAAAGACGCGGCCGCGGCCGGTGCCTGCCCACGGCCCGGGCTGGCGGTGCGATGGGGCCCGGCCGCCTCTCGTGGTCGGTGCTGCTGCGCTGCCGGCGGGCGGCGGCGGCCCTGGGCGCGCCCCGGTGCCGCCCGCTGCCCGCCCGCCCGCTCAGCGCCGCCGCCCCGCGCCGGGCCCCCCTGCGCCCGCCGGGCGCGGGCGGCAGGGCGCCGCGGGACGGGCCGGCGGGCGCTGGCCGCGGTACGGAAGAGGAGGAGGAGGAGGAGGAGGAGGATGAGGCAGCCCTGGAGGCGCTGCTGGGCCCGCCTCCGCTGGCCCCGGGGCCCGGCGCCCAGCGCGTTGCCATCGTGCACCCCGCGGTCAAGTGGGGCCCGCAGAAGTCGCCGCTCACCACGGGTGCGGGGCTGCGGCGGGCGGGTCCCGGGGAGCTGCGCACCCAGGGGGTCGGAATGCACTGCCCTGCGAGTGTGGAGTCGCTGGTCTTGGGCGTGTGTAGCAACAGACTGATAGTAGCTCTGAATGGCGCGGGCTGTTGGCGCGGTGGTGTGCGGTCGCAGGTTGGACTCCAGGATCTCAGAGGTCTTTTCCATCCCAGCTGATCCTGTGCCTGTGCCGCTAGTGTGAGCTGGAGCCGCTGTTACAGCGCGACGTGCAGCTTGCAAAGTACAACCTTGGGTGGAAGGTCTCGGGCGTTCTTGCCATCTTTGTCAGCTTTTTAGAGGACAAGGATTCATTAGTGAGGGTTGGCAGGTCTGTGCTTTGGCTTGCAAGCCGTGCTGAGTGTATTTTGGGGGGCAGAACGCCTCAGTGCAGGTTGGTCAGGGAAACAGTCGGGTGTCCCCCTTATTAGAACAATGTTAATTGCCCTCAGCCGTACTGCCTGTCCAGTGGGCTGGAGTCCTTTGGCCTTAGGGTTGCCCAGAAGTTGGCTGGAGAGCAGCAATACCCTCCTGTCCAGAGAGGAGAGTGCAGTGAAGATGAAGTCCTGTATAAATCCTCTCGGGGACTTAAGTTCTTTTGTACACGTACTTAATGATGCACTAGTAATTCCCCTGTAAGGACCTTTCGGTAGGACTACTATTAGGTTTCTCTCAGAAATCATTGTAACTAGCTAATGTATAAGCATTAATCACAATCACACACAGTTAAGACACATTATGAACTTGATGCTTCTCTTTGAAGACCTCTCTAATTAGAAGGTTGCAATATACAGGATTAAAGCACCTTGTAAATTGGCTTTTTATGTATAGAATCATAGAATGGTTTGGCTTGGAGGGAACCTTTGAAGGTCATCCAGTCTGCAATGATTCAGGACGTCTTCCACTGGATGAGCTTGTTAGACCTCTGTCTAATCTGGCTGTGAATGTTCACAGGAATGTTTACAGGACCTCCACCTCTCTGGGCAATCTGTTCCAGCGTTTCACCACTCTCACTGTAAAAAACTTTTTTATATCAAATCCCTTGGTTTAAAACCACTGCCCCATTTTATTGCAACAGGTCCTGCTAAAAAGTCTGTCCTCATCTTTTTTTATAAGCCCCTTTTAAAGGCTGTAAAAAGGCCTTCTCCAAACTGGACAACATCGACTCTCCCAGACTTTTCTCATAGGAGAGGTTCCACCTATCTGATCATCTTTGTGACACTCCTCTGGATCTGCTCCAACAAGTCCATGACTACCTTGTGCTAGGGACCCCAGAGCTGGACACAGCACTGCAGGTGGGGTCTCACCAGAGCAGAGCAGAGGGGCAGAATCCCCTCCCTGGCCCTGCTGCCCACGCTGCTTTGGCTGCAGCCCAGGACACGTTTGGCTCTCTGGGCTGCAAACATAGAGTGCTGGGTCATGTCCAGCTTCTCATCCACCAACACCCCCTAGTCCTCCTCAGCAGGGCTGTCCATCCCCCAGCCTGTATCAATATCCTAGGGGGTTGCCCTGACCCAGATGCAAGACCTTGCCCTCTTTGCTCCATGTTTTCCCTTGACTTCTTGAGCCTGTCCATGTTCTTCTGGATGGCAAGAGATAGTTTGTATGTACTTATTCTTTTATTCCAATTTATTATGTGATGAACCTAAATCTTGTTTAGTTTTATTCGTGCTGCTAATTCCAACAAATTTTCAAATTGCAGAATAAAGTTTTTAACCTTTTTAGGATTGACGTGACATAATTTTACAACTGAGAAGTAGGTAAAATAAGAAGGCACCTTTCTGTCCAAATATACAGAAGAATAGCAGTGGTCCCTTTCCACTTATTTAGGCCCTCCAGATGAAGAGCCTTTAGTCTGAACAAATGTTTTGGAATGATTTTTGAAGCACCACAGATACAACAGGACATCTCTGTATTTTACAAAAAAACATGAACAATGTGAGGAAATAGTGGATCATGATTATCTTTAAAAATATGTTCTCTTTTGGACCAGTGTACATATTTAGTATATAAATTATGTTTTGCTGTCTAGGGAAAGTTTACAAATTTGTTCTGAAGAGGAAAACTTTGGTATACCAAGACTAGAATTGCTGATCTGATATTCTTGTGTAGTCTTTGTGATTTTACAAAGTCCTCAAAAATCATAGCTTTGCAATGTAGATGTTAAAAACTCAAAAGTAATTGATGAACCAGTATGGAGGATTCACATCTACTGGTTTTAGCAAGTCACAAACCAGTTTAGGTCCTTTAAGAAAAAGTGGCTGTGAAGTTACAGCAGGATATAGCTGTATTAGTAATTTCCAAATTATTGCTGCAAAACACCAAAGTGTTAATTGTGTAGCTTTGTGCTCATCTGAAATAGTAGATTTTCCAACTAGTTATTAATTTCACTTACTGAGGGGAAAAGCTGACAATACAATTAAAAATTCTCCTAAGCCAACAACCACAGAAATAATTTATACTGTTGGAAGGATGCTTTGTGTGATAAAGTTGCATCAAACTGATCAATTACTCTGCATAGAGGTTAAAACACTTTGCTCGTTCTGCTAGAGATTAAAAGAATTTCAGTCTAGCATAGTCTTTCCATGTTCATGCATGTACTGTAGTTATTTACTATCTGAGAAGACTTATGATGGTACATAGTAATATATATTTCTTTTTTTTTTTTATTATGTTTCTGAAGCTGAATTACAGATTGCCGAAGCTGTTGCTCTTGTAGATACTCTTCAGAACTGGACAGTTTTAGATAAAATAATTATTCCTACAAAAAATCCCAACAAGAAATTTGTTTTCGGCAAAGGAAACTTTCAGGTTTTGACAGGTAAGGACTGAGATCTTTCAGCATCACTCTAAACAGAAGACTTTTGCAGCCAAAAAGTTCAAGGATAGGTATGAAAGCTGAAGAGAGGGAGAATTTTGTTTATCTATCATGTAGGTTTGCAGGAAAACTTGAAAGAATTTTTAAGGTTACAAAAGCAATGCAGACTAGACATAACCCCTGGTCACTGAAAATGTGTGAGGCAACTTAGTCCATAAACTTACGTGATTGGCATAAGTGAAACTCATGCTGTTCTTGGCACAGTACTAAATTAGCAATTACAACTGCTGTATGAACAAAGAATATGGTGTCACTTGATGTTTTATGAGCATTCTGCTCAGTGCAAAATGGTTTATAGTCTGGGCATTTTAAAAAGAGAATTGGCATTTAACACTGTATTTTGCAATCATTATCCATCTTTTAGAAAAGATTAAAAAATTACCCCATGTGACAGCTGTCTTCTTGAATGTGGAAAGAATATCTTCACTAACAAAGGTAATTAAATATAATACCAAATCATATTATTTGCATCAGTATTGTTTGAAAGCTATTGGTGTTAGGAGAAGTGGTCACTTAAAATTTTGTATTTGTACATGTTAATATATAAAGCACCAGGACTGAGTTTTATTGAAAAGAATCTTAATACCTATTGCATTTGTCCAGTTGATATATGTTTCCAGCTTGTGCATGAAATTTCACAGCAGCTTAGTATAATTTATTATAGACTCTGCTCCCACATTTGACACTGGCCCTATTTAAAATGTTGGAAACATTACTCAAGGTGTTTTTTTACAAAATTATGGTGTTAACACAGCTTTTGTTATGGAAAATGTCAATATTTTGGATTATCTATGTACTCAAGTTTCTATATTTATAATGGATGGCATATTTTTTTCCCTATACTGTGGATGCTGAACTGTATTTTGAATATGAGGTGTAAATTCAGAGCAAGCTTAGAGCTGAATGTTTCAAATACTTAAACTTTCAATCCTAACTTGAGAAGCATTGAGAGGTGCAGAATGCTCCAGTATTTTAACACTGTAAACAACTGGTACATGAATTAATTATGTGGTACATGAACTACAGATATTCTTGGACAAGCCAAAATAAAAACTTTTTTGGGTTTTTATTATGTGCAGCATCATGCGAAGTGTAAAGTGTATGCAAACTCTGCAAGCAAATGTTAATGCTTTGCTGGTAGCTTTGAATGCTTTCTCTGATTATAAAATGAAGAGATGACAAATATCTCTAACAGATGGTTATTCAAGTGCTTCTATTTGTTGATAAAGGGAAGTTGAAAATGTTTCATTTCAATTTCCTAGTTCTTAGGAAAACTATAGTATGAGTTCTTCTTTTAGTACTAGATTTGCTAAAAAATTGTTTTCTTTTCACGAATATAGATCTTAAGAGCAATTAAACAGGGTTGATTCAAGAAAGTATTTGAGAATATGTATACAAGCATTCTGGATTTTAGAGATGGTGTAAGGGAGCTACTGCATATTTTAAGTGTCTTTTGCTGAATTAGAGCAAGAATGAGGGGTTCAGGTTGCTTTGGGGCTAAGTGTTTCATTAAAAGCTTGCTATTAAGTAATTTTCCTGTATTCCTCTCTATTTGTTTGAAAGTCTTAGTAATCTTTTTTTCTTGTCCTAGTCTTTCCTATTCCAATATTTCATAATTATTTTTTACAAGGATTTAGCTACTGACATTCTTGATT